TTCCCTTTCCCAGAACCTGAAAACCACGCAGAAAATAAGGATGAGCTACAACAGCTCAGCAAGACATCAAACCTCCAATCAAAATCCTCAGAATCCACATCAAACACATCAGACAAAAATCTGTACAGAAATCAGATCAACAGAATCGTATATCGAATCAGAACAGAACAAAAATCACAGAAATCATAATTCCTGAAATTGAATCAGAACAGAATCATACATATCAGATCAAATTAGAACAGAAAAAAATCATATCAGAATCATAAATCATATCAAAATCGTATGGAAATCAGAAATCATATCAATTCAGAACATATCAAAAGTCAGAACAGATTCCCTGACTCTGACAGAATCTCAACGGATTCTGGCCCCTTATACCTCCCTTCCCAGACACTGACATAATCTCTCGTATTCTGGCCCCTTATGCCTCCCTTTGTGCTCATGGCACCAGAACAGATGTGCTTATAGCACCAGAACAGAACCTATCATCGGATCCGGAATAGAACTTGTTTTCAGATTTCAGAGCTCATTTCAGATTTCTCTGACACAGACAGGATCTCACAGGATCCTGACCCCTTATAACTCCCTTTCATAGCATACAATCATATCATGTCATTTCAGAACAAATCCGGATAATTTCAGAAATCATACAAAAATCCAGCGGCATAACGGCAGTATACGGAATTTACACAAAAATTCCTAAATTCACAAATTACCAAATTAACATAGAATATTCACAACAACATTGCAAGACTTTTATTCTACTGCTCAGACAATTTTAGACATCATCAGAAATTACAGTCAAAATAAAACACCGCCGAATCAAAACTATCCGGTCAAAATTCTCCAGAAAATAATTAAAACGTGCGCACTCGGCACCTCAGGAACATACCAAAAGTTACGCGGTAAAAACTGAACCAATCAAAAAATACGGACGAAATTCGCTAACGAAAATGAAATCCGGACAGAAAAATCGTTCAAACTTCACCGTTCTGAAAATTGAGAAAGACGGAATGTGTCTTACCTTGCGTACACTAATTTCTTGAACTATCTCGACGGACAAAAACGGATCGGCGTTGCCCCGAAATCAACTTTTCCTCTTTTCCTCTTTTCCTTTCTTTCTCCTCTGAATTTCTGATATTTTTATTTGATTTTTCTCTCTTCAAAACGACTGATTTTCTTCAAATAAACTTGAGATCGGCCCGGCCGATCTGAACAAATCACTTCGTCCTTGGGCGATTTCTCAAGATGATAATTAATTTTCTTGGACGATAAAAACTCCTACTCTCTGTCTTTTGCATTGCTCTGATCATCCCGGGACGATCCCCGATCGGCCCGGACGATACTGGGAGGAAAACTTTCCTGTAACTTCTGTACACATTCTGTAACAAAACTTCAACTGATCGTCCCGGGACGATCCACGATCGGCCCGGACGATACTAGAGCAAAACCGATGTTACAGCTAAGCTCATGGAGGAATCCTTGAGTGAGGAGGAAATGTTTGAAAGCATGACTTGTGAACTCCCCTCCTACATCCAAGCAAAAAGTTCTTATATGAGAGGTGAATTGATTTTTTACCATGTTAAAGAAGTGTTGAAATTTGATAAATGTTTTATTTTTTGTTTGCATGAGGTATAGCCAACAGAAACGAGAGCAATCATCAATAAAAATCTTATAGTATCGGTAACCAAATAAGGAAGAGATAGAAGGACCCCAAACGTCCGAGTGTATTAAAATAAATGGTGTAGATACATGAGTAGCTTCCTTTGGAAAGGGGAGCTTATGGCTTGAGGTCACTTTACAGGAAGTGCAGAAAAAGGATTAACTTAGATAATGTGGTCATCGTTCGATGATGAGGATGACCCAAACAAGCATGCGAAAAGGAGGTGGAGTCAGACTTCATGTGAAGAGCATGGACTGGAGTGTGACAACTAGTTCAAATGAAATATATCCCGTCTTGATTATGTCCACGGAGGAGGATTTTGTTGTCCAGGAGGTCCTTGATGACAAAACCGGAAGAGTCAAAATAAATGGAGCAGTTATTGTCAATAGTGAGCTTTGAAATAGACAGAAAGTTGAGAGACAAGGAGGGTACATGAAGGAGATTTTGTAGTTTTAGCTTATGATTGGTGTCGGGTGGGGGAAGGAGACCGGCTCCACTGTACTAGATGGGGAGAGAGGATCCACCTGATGAATAGATTGAGTCTTGACCCGGATAAGGAACTAAGTGTTGCATATTTACAATGTAAGACATGAGATGCGTGGATGCTCCAGAATCTAGGACCTAGTCCATGGTGGGGTTTGTCTGGTTCTTGGTGAGAAGTGCATGGGGATTTGAAGTAGTTTGAGGTGCGTATCTGGAGTTGAATCTGTGCCAATACGACAGCGCAACATGTCCAGGCTTCCCACAAATTTGGCAACTGGGTTGAGCGGTGCCCCTTGGCATAGCTGAAGGAGGTCTGGTGGATACTGTTGATGGAATGAAGGAGGCTCCATGTCCACGACTTCTCTTAAAAGTAGAAGAATGTCCTCCGCCTCTCATCGTATACAATGCTTGATGATATGGAGCTACGACAACAACGACATCTTGCTGTATTTCGGTTTGTAAGTTGATTTCCTCGCTGCAGAGATGAGAATAGAGTGATTAAAGAGTTATGGTGTACGGGGAGGTGCGTATGGCTGCTTTAAAGGGATTGTTTGAGGGTGGTAGCCCTTTTAGTGTGTAGAGGATGATATCCGATCCTGCGATGGCAATGTTGTCTATTAGTGATTTAATTTGCGCTAGATATTGGGAGACAGTTTGGGCGCGCATTTGAACGTTGTGAAGTTTATTTTTCAACTGTATGGCTCTTGACTGATTAGTGGGTTGGAGGCGGGGCTCTAAGATTGCGAGGAGGAATCTTGTTCCATCATTCTGATGAAGGGAGAAGATTAGTAAATCATATAGATAAGTAAAGGAAATTGCATTGTATTGCATAAGTTTTCTAGATACATAATGCAGGTATTTTATAGAGAGCTTGGGGAGCATGACGTTGGAGAATGTCAGGCTTTCGTTGGTGGCAGATTGGAACAACAAGTAAGTGTGTGCTGATGTGGATGGAGCACGTTAAGTTAAGTGAGCAACATGTATTCAAACGTGATGTGTTAACATATTCAACTTAACTAAATTCATTTACCTAATGAGGGCCTTGTCTTCTAAGACTTACACAGTTTATTTTAGTAAATTCGGTGACTAAATGTGTTGAATATCAATTTTATTTGTATATTATAGTGGTTTAAGGCTTCATTTGGTACAGCTTTTTTATTGCTTCTTAAAAAAGTTTTCTTGTTATAAAATTTTAATTTTTGCACTAAAAAGCTACTTTAAGAAGCAGTGAGAAAGCTGTCCCAAACATAGCCTAAGTTCATGCTAGATAAAAATGCATAATTATTTGGTCAGACTCAGAATATTTTCAAAGAAATAGATGCCACATATATTTTTAAAAAATAGTATGTAAATGCTCTTTAGAAATGCTCCATGCAACATTCCTCTTTTTATTTTTTATTTTTTTAAGGAGAAAGAGGGAGAACTGAACAAGGGTTTGAAAGTGGATTTTACCTCATTGAAACGCTTCTCGAATCCGATCAGTTTGGTACCGTCTACGTTTGACTCAGAGATCAAGATTCCAGTGGCACCAACAAGTTCAAGTGCTAAGTAGTCAATTTGGAGATAAAGCTCACCCGCCCGGCCGACTCAGGGGCCTCACACTCCATCTAGATCCACCAAGTATACGAGGACGACCAAGCCTTCAATCGAGGACAAACAGATCTTAAATCTCATCTTCGATCTCTGCCTTGCACCTGATCCCTTTTCATACATTGATACCGACAGCACCTTTTACAGGAGCAAAGCTGCCGCCCTTATCACATAACTCACCAACGCAGCATAGCACGCTGTGATATCAAGGCTAACAAAGGTTTTGTGCAATTCCAATGGCGAACGCCATAGGTAATCGACATTTAATACAACGATGTGAAGAAGAAATATTCACTACTGAGAAGGCGAGAGGTCCATTATTCTTTACCCAAAGCTTTTTTATGGCTGGTTGCGACAAACTTTGCCAATCATAGTAGAAGCACTGGCCATCAATTGTGCCTGTCGATCATAACCGTCTATATAAAATCGCTCAAGCGATCCTAGCCGTCTAAGCTAAATAAAAAGGGTCGCCACTCGTGAGGAGCTACAGTAGCTTTACAATGCCTAGTGGCTTAGTGGTTGGAGACTTGGAGTAACTATTTAGTATTTTGTTAGAAAAATATCATAACTTTAAATTTTTTTATGTTCATGAGATAATAATTTTTTTATATAATCCTATATTATATTTATAAAAAAAATTATTATTTTTTATAAATTAATAATATTTATGATATTTATTTTATTTTATATATAGAAGTAAATCAATACTTTTTTTTTTGGAAAAATGCGGGTAACGCCCTTTAAATTAATCACCAAAAGTTACAAGTAAAGCAATTACAAGTATAGAAAACCTATACCACCAAAAGAAACAAAGAACACAAAGAAAAGAAGAAATGCAGAAACTAAAGGACTCAGGAAAATAGATCTACATCAAAAGGCATAAAGCCAAGCTCAAACGGGAAATCACCAAGCAGCAGATAGACACCGGTTGCCCACCATAACCGAATGAAGGGCCATCACAGTGCCCAAATAAAGCATTCCTTGTTTCCATAGGACCATCCGAGGATGCATGAAGATGTAGATCTGACACATCATCGTCCAATTTCTGCAAGCATCCATACGAAGTAGCATATGTAGAGACTGGGTAAGAGAAACCACCAGAGCTCCAGGACTTTGGGAATCAAAGCTAGGATGCCAAAACTTGCCAGTTAAATAAACCTGTGGCGTACAACAAACCAAAACATCCCAATATGGGATCAAAATAAAACTGGAAATGGAAACATCAGCCTTCCAAAAATCATGCCAGCCGACTGCATACAGAGGATCATCCCAGAATTTGTCCAAAAATTTCCTTAAGCATGTCATAATGATTCCAATTCCTAATTTTAGCATAAATAGCTTGCAAAATAACTCTTTTAAGCTCATCAGGATTTCTCCAAACACCAGAAACCCGTCTATTGTTTCTTTCTCTCCACAAGTAATACACCAAAACAGCCACCGTAAAATAACATAAATTCTTATCTGTTTTGGTATACTTCCGAACGGTCCCAAAATGATCAAATACTTGAGTAAGATTAGGCCTCAGGTAAAAATTCACCATATCCGGAAATAGAGCAGTAAGCAATAAAAAAGAGAAATCACATTCAAAATACACATGAGAATGTGATTCAATGTTGCCCAGACAGAAAGAGCAGGAGGGGGCCACCACAATCCCCCTAGAAATGAGAATGTCCGCCATTTTAAGTTTACCTTTAACAGCCATCCAAGTATAAGAGGCATAACGCAAGGCAAAGCCTTTATGCCAAATGAATTTAAACCACGGGACACTCTTTAAGTTAGAATGGTAAAAAGCAGAGAAAAATTTGTTAGAGGGGTTGGGACAACTAGACCAGAAAAGCACCGGCCCCTCCCCAACAATAACAGTTTTACTAATAGTGTCTTTCACCGGCCCAGGTAAAGAAACAGGGAGCACCCAACGGCTATGGGAAATAAAATCCTTCACCCATAGATGAGAGTTCCTGTTGGCCTCAATCAGATCAGCAACCATGCCCATATTACACCAAGGATCCCACAAGAACGATAGGTTACAGTTATGGTGAACCGAGAAAGAAACAGCAGGTTTAATGGTAGCAGCAGTTTTACAAAACAGTTTCCATAATTTTGAGGCAGCGGTATGGGGTGGCATCCAAGGAGAGTCAAATTTCTCCCTAAATTAAGAGCCAATTAAAGTTCCATTGTTGTACATTCTGAAAATAAAAGAGCAAGCCATGTTGTGATAAAGAGAATCAAAAGAAGGAAGCCCCAGCCCCCCTTTGTTTTTCGGCTTGGTAACAGTCCTCCAAGAAATAAGATGCATTTTCTTATCCAAAGCATTCCCAAAGAAAAGAAATTTTGAGCAAATTCTAGAGATTAATTTAGAACAAGCTTTTGGTACAATCGCTCCCCGGATCTAGTACGCAATAGTGCTAGCAATAGTAAACTTAAGTTATTGCACCCGACCTGCAAAAGAGAGGAATTTGACTTTCCAACCCTCAAGAAGAGCAGAAATTCTACTCAGAAGAGGTTGGAAGTGCTGAAATTTAAGACTGTGAATGGAGATAGGGATCCCCAAATAAGTGAGATTGCAATCCACTTCATGAGAAATTCCAAGGCAGGCCGAAATAAGCTGATCATGAGTGGAATTCTTGGAAAAAAGTATGCTGCTTTTGATAGGATTAATGATCAGTCCAGAAGCCTTAGAGAAGTAAAGGAGGGCCTCATTAAGAGACCTAGCATTTTCCACAGTAGCTGAACCAAAAACCAAAAGGTCGTCTGCATACATAAGATGGCTAATACTGAAGTTATGATAACGTATTCCAGAAAAAGAATTATGCTCCGTGAGATCCAAAATGGAAGACAGGCCATCCATGACAATGCAGAAGAGGAGGGGGGAAAGAGGACAGCCTTGCCTCATACCCGAAGATGACTTGAAAAAACCTTCCAAGGAACCATTCAGACAAATAGAAAAGAAGACGTAAGAAATGCAGCCCTTAATCCATGAAATGAAAATGTTTGGAAACCCCTTCTGCTTGAGCCTGTTAATCAAAAAAGTGCGAGAAACAGAATCGAAGGCTTTCTTTATATCAAGCTTAGCACAAAAATTTTTTTTCTGCCCTTTAAATTATCTTAACAACTCGGCAGCAAGAATAATATTGTCGATAGAACATCTCTTAGCAATGAAACCAGATTGACTCACATTAATGATGAAGGGAAGAATGGTTTTCAATCTATTAGCTAAAATCTTAGCAATAATTTTATAGAACACATTGCATAAAGAGATAGGACGGAAATCAGAAATGGAGTTGGAATGAGTACCCTTAGGAATCAGAGTAATGGCAGTAGCTTTGGCGCCTTTAGGCATCTCACCAGAGGAGAAGAAATGTTTAACTGCTCTGCATAAACTAAAGCCAGAAAGGTGCCAAGTTTTCTGATAGAAATCAAAGGAAAAACCATCTGGGCCCGGCGCAGAAGAAGCAACCCCCGCAAACACCACCCCTTTTATTTCCGCATCAGTAACCTGGGCCACAAGCCCGTCAATAAGGTGGGCAGGAATCACCTTACCAACAGGAATGTTATAGGAATTTCTAAGATCAGGGAGGGAGCATTGAAGAGGGTCTTAAAATGATTAATAAGAGCCGCTGCCATGTCAGCATGAGAAGATAGTAATCCAGTCAGAGAAGAAAGCACTTTGATAACATTCCTGTTCTTCCTAGATTTAATCTTGGCATAGAGAAAGCCAAGGTCATCCTCACCTTGAGAAAGCCAATAGGCTTTAGCCCTTTGAGAAATCCAAGAGTACCAAGCAGATTTGAAGAGTGCTAACTTATCACTAGTAGCTTTAAGATTTGAGTTTAAAATAGGGTTTAAAGGATCTCTTTGAAGTTCAGTAAGACAAGTCAAATGAGAATTTTTAAGCTCAAGTATGCAATTGGAAATGAAATTGGAAGAATTCCAGCTTCTTCTACGGATATTATCTTTGAGATCTCTCAAGCAGTCATAGAAATGAGCAATGGGGCTAGCAGAAATAGGCCTCTCAAAAGCCCTTTGGGTCAGCTCCCAAAAATCATCAAACTTGGTCCAAAATTCTTTAAACATGAATCTAGAAACAGTCTTACTGAAAAGAGCAGCATTAAGAATCAGTGGAGCATGATCAGAGCCCGAGAAACAGTCCACTTTATAGAAAGCAGAAGGGAAAGCATCCAAAAAGGCAGAATTGACCAACATTCTGTCGAGTTTGATGTGAATAGGAGAATCACTCCTTTGATTAAACCAAGTGAAAAATAGCCCCACAGAAGCAAGGTCCTGGATGCCCGATTCGAACACAAAACTATTAAGTTCTCCCAATCTATCATTGTTCAAGGGAATACCACCAGCTTTTTCTCCAGCGAACCTATAGCAGTTAAAATCTCCCATGACAATCCATGGCATGTCCAGACTAGAGGAAAGATCAAGAAGATCTTTCCATAAAACTTTTCTTTCATCAAACGTATTGGCAGCATAAACCACAGACATGTAAAAAGGAGGCATGGAACCAACACATACCAGCCCGTGAATGAGTTTAGAGGAAGAGAAAGACGGGGTGTAAGACACCTGAGAAGCATCCCATTTGACCCAAATTCTACCAGGCGAAGAATGCCAAAAATTATCATAGCAGTTTTCATTCTCAAACAAGGCGTGAAAGAAAGAAAACCTAGAGTCAGAAACAGAAGATTGGCTAATCTTAGCTTCCAAAACACAAAACAGCTTAATATTGTGGACCGCAATGAGATCTTTGCAATATTTGACTTTAATAGGATTATTAAATCCCCGGACATTCTAGGCAGCAATAGGCGGCAAAGACATGGTTATTTGTGGGGTTTGGCCTTCTTGGCCGTCTTGGCTTTGGCTTTCCCTTTCTTGGGAGGAGATTTAGTCCCCACCGACATCTTGGAGGAAGAAGAAGTAGAAGGGGAGTCTTTGGAGGTGGTCTTGGGAGGCGGGATAACCTTGACAATAATGGGAGAGGAGGAAGAATCTTCCTCCACACAACTACCATCCAGATTATCCACTAGGATAGGCTCAACGAACGAATCCTCCACCGGAAGAGAACCAAAACTATTAGCAAGAGTAACCTGTGGTGGCGTAAACTTAAGAACTTTACTGTGAATCGAGGAGGAAGAAGAATCCGACTGCGGGAGGTTAAGGTTGGGAATAATAGGGTTAGTCAGGATAGCACCAAACGGGAGATGTTTAGTAGGGGAAGGAGGGGGCTGGGCATTCTCCACCGCCTTAGGAGCAACAGCAATCTCAGGAAGAAGTTTAGTGGGAGAAGGAGGAGGTTAGACTTTGTCCACCATCTTAGGGGGAGCAGCAATCTCAGCAGTAATGAGAAGATCAGCCTGGGAACCAGAACCAATAATCAAAGGAGGATTAAGAGGAGCAGACAAAGGGGTCACGGGAAGGCTTCCTAGGAAGCTTAGAAGGATTGCGACTTTTGCTCCTACCCCTAAACACAGGTTTAATCGGAAGAGACGGTTTAGGAGCGGGGTTTTAGGGCAAAGAGCAAAAGGGTGGACAAGGGAGCCGCATCCCTCGCATTTGGTCGGTTTCCAGTCAAACACAGCCGGGAGAGTCAAATCTTCCCCATCAATTTCCAGGGGAATTTCTTCCGGTAAATCAGAGTTTTTGTCAACTTTAACACAAATACGAGCAAAAGTGAGTCTCGTTCTTTTTGCAGTTAAAGCATCTACGCAAAGCGGCTCACCAACATAGCTAGCTATTTTGGAAATACCTGAAGGTGTCCAAAGAGCAAGAGGAAGATTGAGGACCTTAATCCAAAGGGGTATAGAAGCAGACTCATCACGCTTAGGTTGGAACTTAGGGTTCCAGCGTTGCAGAACAAAGGGTCTTCCGAGAAGAAACCACGGACCACCCGACCACACCATGTCGTAGTCCTCAATAGCCGTGAATTTGAGCAGGAAAAGTCATCAGCAAGGGAAAGGAGGGAAAGCGACCCCTTGAGCTTCCAAGCTTTCTCCATAGAAGCCAAAAGCAGTTCGTAATATGGTCGAGGACCAAGAGAGTACCCGACCAGAGACAGATTCCAAAGAGATTTTCCTTCTGCAAGCTCTACCGAAGCAAAGGACAGTTTTTTCGCTGGTTTGACATAAGACATCTGCCAATCAGTACTAACTAGATAAAAAAAAACAAGTAACGTCAATCTGCATTGAATAGTCAAAATTGTTTGTTAATTTTTTTTAAATAATTAGTTATTAAAAAAATATGTTCATTAGTTAACACTAGTGCTGTTAAAATAATAAATTTTCTTATTAGTAATTTAAGCTTGCATTTACTTGATTTTTTTCCTCAAGGAATTATAGGTGTCTATTGTATACAGGTATATAATTTATACCCAACAATAAGGTTAAGTCTGTAGATGATGGTGATTGCTGATGGTATTCACCGATGTGGATGATCATAAGTTGAGAGAGATAGAAAATATATGAGAGCTCTTTTGTTCTCTCTCCCCCCTTCACAGGGAGAATGTAGTTCTATTTATAGGCTTTTTGAGATGAGCATTTTAATAAATTAAACCAAAATTCAAAATACTAATTGAACTGTTCATATCAATTCTTAGTTCAAAATTACGTATGATACTAAAAATAAAAAATATTTATATATATAGACAAATGATATGTTTGGGACAACTTTCTAGTTGCTTTATTTTCTTTTTGCATTTTCATTATTTTTTAATTTTTTTTGTGATGGAAAACTGCTTTGTACAAACATAATAGCGAAGTTATTTTATCCATAACAATTTCACAAACAAGTTTATAACATGTAGATAGACCCAAAACCACTTTCTCAAAAGCACTTTTCGTTTATTGAATTAAGACTTTGTTTGGAACTACTTTTTTATTGCTTTTTAAATCAACTTTTTAGTACACAAATTTGTAATTAAAAATAATTTTGTAATGAAAGACTATTTTAGAAAGTAATAAAAAAATTGTCTCAAATAAAGCCTAATTTAACAATTATTTAATTTAATTAACATATATGTAAAATAATGAATGACAGCAAAACAATTATTTTTTAACAATAACAAATTAATTTTGTTTTAAATCACAGAGAAATTATAAAACGAAGACCTTCACACATTCTAATTTC